TTTTTAAATAAAATGAAAAGATACATGTTTTCTAAAATATCATCGTATTGAAATGGTCTTATAATAAGTGATTCAGGATCATTCATTATGCAAGTTTTATATGAGTTAAAGACAATTTACCCAGGAAAAAAAGTGCTAATTATATATTTTCGTAATTGTCACTGAATCTTATTTGCAACAATATTGTGGATTATATTTGATTTTCTAGCCACTCCTAGCGATGTAGAGGTATCCCCAGGACACTTCCGGCCTGCAGAGGGTACTCCATTTATCTTAGAATGTGGAGAGGGAATAAATTCAGACTCTCCTAGAATTGTTAAGTGGATCAAAGATGGCAGACCAGTTGCTAAAGACGTCCGTAAAGACTCGAGGGGGAACCTTCTGTTTGATCCAATCATATTGCTTGACAGTGGAGCTTATACATGTATATCCACAAATCCGAGAATGGTCTATAATGCTGCGGTTGATGTTATACCTGAGAACATCAATAGTGAGTTAACTGTAACTCGTATATATTGTTAATGATTTAAATAGTTTTGTAAATATACCCATACAAAAAATAAATTTGAGCTAGAAAGTTAAGGATGTAAATGTTACTGATAGTACATGACTATGAGGTTTATTGCAATATTTTAGTAACAATTCGACATGTTTTGTTAATCTATTTAGGTACTTTATCTTTTGCACTGGCTTTTAAACACATCACAGATTCACGGAAGAAAACATACTTCTAAGATCTGCCTAAATATAGAAAGGAAAGGAAACAACACTGCTTTTGGAATATTTATTGTGTTTCGATGTCATGGCTTTTACTTTACCATTGAAAAGTAACAGCTACATGTACCTATACTTAACATAAATTTTTAAAAAATGAAGCATTCATATTTTAAACATGTCTTTTCGTTGATGCTGATATAATCTTCTGAAACCAATAGACAACAACTTACCCATATGACCTTCCCGACTTTTCTTCCGAGCCATGACAGATTTTTGTTCAATATCCTACTCGGACTATTGCTGTTATCAATTTCGCTGATGTAAAATAGTACCATGAATAAACAAATTAAGATAAAAAACCTGTGTTAATGACAATGAAATAATTTTTTTTACAAATCATAGTCATTTAGTGGTCCAGAAAACTTGTATTATAATGACAATTTTCCCATATTATTTATATATCTTCTCCTGTACTCCTTTGATCGTCATTCCTGGGATTTAGTTTGTAAAGCATGCCTTAATTTTATTAGATTTCCTTCGGAGTGAGAGGAATAGAAATCCAGAGGACAGACTTCCTTTAATGGAATACCACCGACCTGTGTCGACGTCTTTCTTCAAACTGACCTGTAACATCACTGATGCAGATTACCGACAGCCAGTGATATGGACCAAAGACGGTCAACCACTGGATAATTCTAAACCTTCAATACTTCAACGTACAGATAATGGTCGAACTCTTATATTCCCGTCGATTCTTCCTGATCAGTCTGGAATGTACAGATGCCAGATAGGACCAGATGACAAAGCGGCAATAGTAGATGTCAGACCCGAAAGTGTTCAAGGTAAGCAGGTTTAAACCAATTTATTGGTTATTTTTATTTTTCTCTTGCAAAGAATTTGCTTCTCCTGGATTTGAATTTTTTGCCACAAATTAACCGATGTCTTTTTTCAGCAGAAGCAATGATTGATTTTTGAGAAGCCATATTGTCTTTCATGGGGTAAAAATGACACGAACATTTTCAGCATTTGTTGTACATCTCCTTTTCTTCTAGTTAATTAGGTCTATATAATTTTTGAATAACCTTTTTCCTCAGGAGATTGATGAACATTTACATTAACATTTTAACCTATTATTTCATATATGTTTTCACATTAGAGTGCTTACAATACTTTTAGAGTACCTGCTATTAAGTGAACTGAATGACGAGTCCCCCACTTTGGTGCTTCCAAACAGAGAGCAAATGCCCTTCCTACAGTTGCCAAATTCTGAGAACACCCCGAAGTTACTCGTAACGGACCCTGGTACCTCCATTCTCATTCCATGTGATCCAGGGTTAAATGTTGATCCTAATGCACCTGTATCCTGGTATAAGAATGGTGATCTCTTATCAGAAACACCTGGAGTGGAGATGCGCACAGAGGGTATGTTCCTTACCGATCCCATGCGGTCTGATGCGGCATTGTACACATGTGTTATCGGTGAAGGCGAAGCATCTTCTTCAACCAGATTAATTGTCAACGAACCAAAACCAACTCAAGGTACATAGTCTTTTAGATTAAAAAAAAAGTTTTATCAACAAAGCACCTCACTCTTTTCTGAAAGTTTTGCATGCCAATAACTATTTTGAGTAAAACCCGTTTAAGTCACTCTTCATGCTAATTATCCAAAATGTGTATTATGCATATTTTCTCCAATGAAATAAATAAATTCATAAAAAGGGTGGGCAAATTTATGTCATGTTAACTAAACCTGAAAAAAATTATTACGATCTCTGACAAATTGAAAATTATTATTTGATATCAAGGGTAACACTCTGTTTGACGACTTTCATGCTGAAACCCTTTTTCCTCTCGATTATCTGTAAAGCAAGATTTTTTATTGATCAAACTTAATTTCTTACTAAATATGAACAGGATCGTGTAGAGATAGTGCTGGTAAAGTCTTCCTACAAGGAGAGATGTATGCTCCAGATGTATCAAATCCATGTGAAGTATGTAGTTGCTCAAATGGAAATCCAGTTAACTGCAACCAAAAGATGTGTAGTCCTCCGGCATGTCCTAGATATGAACTGATTGAAGGCACATGCTGTGGATTCCGATGTTTAGGTGTCTATACTAGTTATTTTTATAAATAAAGTTCAATATATTTTATTTCCAAAGATTCTACCTTACGCTTACTCAGTGAACTGCCAACATATCTGAACTTAAAAAATCAAGAAAAGGGAAATAGAAATGTGGGCATTTGGTGAAAAAGGCCCTAAGGAACAATACGGGTCACCTCAAGTTTTATGATACCCTGAATGTTGTTACCAATTATAACTGTAAACTTTCTTTACCTTAGAGACACCAGGGGAACCTGGACCTCCATTACCACGAAGAGAACCCGAGCGTCCAATAAGTCCTCCTGTCATTGAAAATCCAGATCGACGGCCACCTGGGCCTTTATCTCCTTTTGGAAGAGGCAAGTCTTTTTTTTTTCTTGTCTATGTCTATTCATACATTTGATGCTAGGTATAAAAACGACTATTCGTAAGGAGTTAGAATTTCTATATCGCCTTAGTCATTAACAATAAGGAGACTTTTTGCTTTCTCATTTGTCCAACACTGTATTTTGTTCTTTTTGTAAAAGTTGTGAACTTTTGAAAAATTTTCTTTTTTTTTTCAATACTGTTATAAAAGTTTAAACCATCCTTGAGTGTTGTGAGTAAACTTGAATATTTTTTTGTCTCCGCTTCCATGTGGTCTTAAGAGGTAGGCCAAAACCATCAAAAATGCAGCTACATGATGGGGGAATATGTTGATACCTTCTTTGTTTTATGTTTAATGATTTTTAGAACACAGTCTGCATGAATATTACAATACTTGTAGAGTTCTTGCCAGACTTGAATTATTTTGTCAGTATACGATGATCAGGTATTACCAAACAGTGTATTAATTAGTTAAACTCACTATACTCAGATGACCTTCAAGACCCATTGTATATTACTTTATTTATATTTTAGTAATGCTTATTCAAAAACTTATATAGAAACGATGTGTTATGAGATAATTGATGATTTAAGTTAATAAAAATATTTCTTTTTGGCCTATCAAGCTTTTCAACTGAATTTTTTTATGCTTACAATGCATATTATACCTATGTTAAAGCTATATTTATTCATTTATTTGTTTTTTTTTCATTTTTAAGTATATTTCATACTGTATGTTGCATCATTTATTAATTTATATATTAATTTTATGGATCTATTTATTTATTTTTTGATGAAAATTTTTTTCATGATTTTTTTTCTCATATTAATTGTTTATTTTTTATTTATTTATTTTTACATATGATTTGTTTATTTGTTTATTTATATCTCTGGTTGCGTTTATAAAACAGGCATTCCTCCACCCGTACCTCCACCTCCCCCTGCTTTCCCGCGTTTCTTTGGTTTGTATTATACGGCTTTTTATTTTGTTCATTGGTCATTTTTGTTACATCCTATTTGCTAACAGCCTTGTTACTATCCAAGTGATGTGCTATAATAATTTTCGGTTACTTCTAAGAGTCATAAAATTTTCAGCTTACATGTTGCTTAAATGCTTGAGATAATGTTAGCATACCTCTCTTTTGCATAATGGTTTAAAGTTTTAAATTGAATGTTTTCTGGAACTTAAGAGAAGTTGCTTATTAGTAATAACCTCTAAAATAATAATCAATGCTTGCTTTTTGTATCGATGAAATTAATGAATTCAAAATTAATGATAATCACTTGCTTTTTAGGAGTTTTTTTAAGTTGTCGCTTGACATAGATATTACTGCCCACTACATATAGCACATATTTCACAGTGATTTAAACAATTTAAATTTAGCAGTAACCTTAATAATCATTGATTATAGACGAGGACCCTACTCCTGATCCATTGAGTGTAAGCCCAATAGATGCCCGTCCCCCTCCTACAGATATAGGATCCGGGCCACTCTCTCCCCCTGGCTCAGTCTCACGTAAGTGCACGCAAAACTTGGCGCCGTTTATGAACATTTTTTTAAAAAAAATGTTCACGGCGTACCTTCTGTCCTTTACAAGACTTCTGTAATTCGTTATACAGAATCATTCATGACAATTGCATGGTTACAATTTTTGTATAAGAAATAACAAAACTTTGTATTTTAAAAAAAATCGATGTTTTGTACCATTTAATCGGGCCCCTAATTATAACCAATATACGAAGTTTGAAATTATAGTTCACTCTTTTTCAGAAACCCCTTATGATGTTGAAATTTCCCCAGGACATTTCCGACCTTCAGAGAGGACTTTATTTAACCTGATATGTCGAATTCCTTCTTCCACGGGAAGAGTTCTCTGGATGAAAAATGGAAGACCAATAAGAAATCCCATCCAAAATGCCAGGGGAGATCTTGTGTTTGATTCAGTTAGAATGCGTGATAGTGGAGTATACACATGCGTGTCTGATGATTACAAGCAAACATACAGCGCTGCTGTTGATGTGCTTCCACAAAATATCGATGGTATGTTAAAAATATTTTAAAAAGAATATTTAAATAGTAATAATTATGCGTTATATACCAAATGCAATGTTACACGAAGAAACTTGAGCTTCTTTGTATTTTAAACTTTTGCATGCGATAATAATGTAATATTCAACACAACTTATAGACAGCTAAAGTATCATTTCGCTATGTAAATGAGTTTTGCCTTTCCAGATACTTCAATGCAGTTTTCCATTAAAAAAAGTTCATTTACTCAACCACAAAAAGCTATTGATGACAGTTTTTGATATACGTTGCTAATCGCTAAAAACTGTCTTTAAACCAGTATATGAAGATAATATTTATAATGTATACATGTATTCTTTAAGTATATTCATTGATATTGGGGATATAAAACTTATTTGTTGATATTTTACATAAATTTCGTCGAAACTATGAAAGAAAAGAATTCCATAGACAGCTTCTCTCTTTGTCATCCAAACATTTTCAAAATAAAAAAAACATTTACATATACAACAAATACGTTGAAGTGATTTAAATTTCTGGTTCAAAGGAAGAGATTAAAAATTAAAGAAAAAAAGAATTGTTTTAAAATGTAAGCGTCGCGCTTTAATATCATTTTGTTTTTCTGTAAAATCATATTACACAGAAACGTAAAAATTTGCTTTATCGTGTTTATTTGTGAAGATTTAGATAAATTGGTGTTTTAGTACTGATAAATTTTTAATTACAAAAGTCATTTTACTTTTAACCCATTGAGTTATATTTTTTTTGAAAAAGTTTGACGCATAATAATTGCAGCAAACGTAAATTAGATGTTGTCAACATGTATTATTTGATTAAAATGCGTTTTTACAGACTTTGTGTTAAGTGAGAGGAACAAAAACCCCGAGGACAGACTCGCTATGATAGATTACCACAGACCCATGTCGAACACTCCCTTTAGTCTTACCTGTAACATAGATGGAATGGACTCCCGACTACCGGTTGTTTGGAGAAGAGATAATCGACCTTTAGACATTGCTAGAGACGAATCTATTCGAATCACCGACAGGGGAAGGGTTCTCCGCTTCCCGTCCATTGCACGTGCTCAGTCAGGAGTGTATAGTTGTCAGATAGGGAATGTAGATAGAACAGACATTGTTGACGTCAGACCGGAAGAGGTCCAAGGTAAGTTGACGGTCTCTTTGCAAGTTAGCCTTGCATACTTTTTACAAAAGCACTTTGCCAAAAAGGGAATCTCAATAAGGACTGATTTGGCAAGATGTAATTTTGGGAAAGAAAGCAAAAATTTATGATAACGCAGAATATGCCTCTTCAAGAACAAATCTTTATATTGTCTTCCTTTTTGTCCAAAACTCTTTTTTCTATGCCTGAATTCCATGACCAGTTAATCATATTTTTTAACATAAGACATTAAGAACAACTGTCTGCTTGCTTTGAAAAAAGCTTCTTTACACTGGAAGGACGATTTGTGTTTAATGGCTTGCTTCTGAATTATTTTCTTCAGAATACCTTCTTTTAAGTGAACTGGACGATAAAACACCCAATGCAATACTGCCAGATGGTGGTCAACTACCAACATTGCGTTTACCATCTGATAGTGATCCTAAATTAATTGTGGCCCCGTCCGGTGCACCAACACAAATTATGTGTGACGCTCAACAGAATATGGACCCAAATCTTCCCGTGTTCTGGTTTAGAAACGGACAGTTGGTTGTCCCATCACCAGCAATCGAATTCAACCCAAGAGGTTTGTTGTTCACTTCCGTTGAAGAACGTGACGCGGGGCTGTTCACATGTGTTGTTGGCGAAGTAGAAGCTACATCGTCGACAAGACTGGTGGTTACATCTCCAGGTAAGTCACCATAGTCTCTAAATATTTCTATGTAAATATGTTAATGTTTTACTTTGTATATCGTGCCCTTGAATGATATTCCATGGCAAATTAATAGATGCACTAATGAAAAACATAAAGAACAAATTAATTATCGAAGGCTTTCCGAAACTTAAGGTTGGTTAAACGATATTTCATGTCTTACACAACTTATAAATTCAAGCAAGATGTATGCTTTGAATAAAAAGAAGTGAAAATATTTTCTTCCTATTGAAAAAATTATATTTGATTCAAAACCAATTGTGTTTCTAGCATCATTCAATGTTAAATTAATTGCTTATAAATATTTATTGTATTTTAGATTCTGTTGATCCAATACCACCAAATCTAGTTGACCCAATCGATAGACAAGTGCCTACTGGTTCAGTCGACAGGCAAATGCCTCCAGTGCCTCCTAGCCCAATCGATAGGCAGGGGCCCCCAGTGCCTCCCGGTCCGATCGACAGGCGAATACCTCCAGTGCCCACAAGCCCTACCGACAGGTTATTGCCCACTGACCCAATTGACAGGCGAGAGTTTCCAGGTCCAATTGATGGACGTATGCCAACTGACATGATAGATAGGCGAATGCCTCCAGGCCCTATTGATGAGCGTATGCCAACTGACATGAGAGATAGGCGAATACCTCCAGGCCCTATTGATGGGCGTATGCCACCTGACATGATAGATAGGCAAGTGCCTCCAGTGCCTTTTGATGGGCGGAGGCCAACTGACATGATAGATCGGCAAGTGCCTCCAGGCCCCACCGATGGAATTGATCAAATATCTCCATATCCAAAAGGTAAGAATACATCTTTAACAAAATCAAATCAAAACTTTGTTTTATTTAATTCTCGTTATAACAGAGAAAGAGAGAGAGGGAGAAGGATATGGAGATAACGAACAGTATTCAATATCAAAGTCCATAAAACAATACAAAATAGGAGCAGAGCAAACACAGACCTCAGACACATCAGAGGTGGGATCAGGTGCCATGGAGGAGTGAGCATCCCCTGCTGACCGGTCACACCCGCCTTGTGCTCCTTGTCATGATCGGGAAATAACGGAAAATCCGTCGTCAATTCGGTGTATAAATAATGGACTAACAATTAGTATAAAAAACGTCAGTCAGCATTTGACTAAATTGTAAATTTTGTTTCGTATGTTACTTTCTACTCAGATTTGCAAAATATGTAAAAAAAAATATCTTAATATCATGTCGCTTTTCCATGATGTTTGGATTTTTAATGAATGTTGTTCATTCGGCCATCCAGGCATTTTCCCTGTTATTTTTTGATCTGGCATCTCAAAATCATTTATATATTATCAGACATGTACATAAACTGAGTTCTAATGTTTCTAGGCAGCGAACCACCCATAACAGATAGACAAGGACCGTACACTCTGCCAAATCTAGAGATTCCAAGACAGATAGATAACCAGTTGATAGGACCAGAGGTGCCTTCAGATCCAGGTTAGACATACACGTATCTTTGCTGTTACTTTGTTGTAATGAAGTATAATGATAGACGTTGGTTGAACGAAATCATGACCCAACTTTCACCAAGCAATATTTGTTTACCATTCTAGATGCAACAACAGTTCTGAGTCAAGTTAACCCAGATACCGGAATTCTAGAACCAAGACGACGACCACCTGTTCGTCCAGACATCAACATCAGAGATTCCATACCTCCGATACCACCTCGGGATATCAGACCCACAGACAGACTACCTCCAGATGTTGGCTCCGGTAAATAATGATAATAATAATGATTGTTTTTATATAGCGCTTTTCTAGCATAAATGCTACTCAAAGCGCTTTACAATACATTACATTGTAAAGAATACAACCGAATACATTATATTCCTACCATAAAATGAATTTCTAAAAAAAAAAATTCGATATAAATGTTATAACAAGTCTCATTTAACATAAATAGTTTTTAGATAATTCGTTACTTGTTTTATAACCAGAAATTGACATATTACCTATTTTTTTAGGTCCATTAGGACCAGGTCCGGAAGACACGGGACCGATGAGGGTGTCCCCCTTGAGACCTCCTGAGGGTGGGCGCTCGGACATCTCTCCCCTTGGTGGTAGATACCTTCCCTCCTCTGCTATTTGTATATTAAAGCGTCCTAACTATTTTCACTTTTAACAATTTGAATATTATTTCATCTAGGAGTGTCATACAAGAGAAAGTAAGGAAGTGGTCGGAGGAAAATGCATTTTTTTTCTCCCCACCCCCTTCCTCCCCCAATTCTATCTATAATTATCAAAGCTTTTACCATTTTCACTTTCAAGTTTTACAAGGGAATGCCCCATTTAGCTTTTTCATGCTTCTTGCAAACTTAAATTTAACAGTTGTGACCATTACTCATAATTAATATGTAACGGTCAATACATTGTGTATACATTATATATTTTATTCAATAGTTTTTTTTTCATATATTGACATTATTTGAATAGGTATCAACATAACGCTATATGGTGCTTGCATGGTTCTTTTTTAATTTTAGAGCAAGTTTTTATCAGCTTTCTCATATTTTATGCGCTTTCATTCAAAAAGCAAAAGCTGCTTTTGTCACCAAATTTATTTTTCAAACGTGCCATTGTTCTCTTGTGAATTTATTTTTTATTTAGGCATTTTAAGACAATTTTATTTTAACAGGAAATCCATAAAAAATACCAACATTTTTTTTTCGATAAAGGTCCTTACTACAGATTACTTTAGAATTATACGTATCCCCATAACCTACAATGCATATTGTTATGAACTGTGAATTTAAATGTTCAATGTTCAATATTCTCTTTATATAGGTATAATTGCGCAATTCTTTTATCCTCGGATCGGGCAAAACTTTAGGCTTCCTTGCAATATTAGAGGACTTACACCCGATACTCCCGTGGTTTGGTATAAAGATAATCGTAGGTTCCTACCCGAGAATGGTCGAGTCCGGATAGTGGACAATGCAATAGTGTTCCAACCAGCACTAGCTGAGGATTTTGATAGTTACGCATGCGTCAGACCAGATACCATGGAAACAGTACGGGCTCAGCTCTACGTCAATGGCGATGGTAAGTAAACGTAAAATTATTAGAGCTGAAAAGAAAAATGGCGGCTCTTGAAACCGAATGACACCATTAATAGCATAGCAAAATACTGTAGTAATAAACAATTTGATTTTTTTATTTAGAAAGACCACCAGGACTACCCGATGAACGATTTACCCCAAGACGAGATGGAAGTAAGTCAACATTTTTCCAACAAAGAATCAGTCACTTCAAAATTGTTCTATTGCATTTCTGAACGAAATAACACCATCGCAGTAATATGTCTTAATTAATGCATGCATCTCTATCCTCTAGGTCTTGTGCAGCATTTTTACTACCCATCCTCTGCCGAATTATTTGAGCTCCGTTGTGATCTTAGGTCTGGGGATAATACAATTCCAATTAGATGGTTTAAAAACGGACGAAGATTCCAAGTACCCGTCGATAGGCCTGTTTCTTTACTCGATAACAATCGTGTCATACGTTTTAGTTCCATTTCACCCAGGGATAATGGTCAATATACCTGTATGGCTGGAGATAATTTAGCGACTGTCTCCTCAGAAATCATCGTTACAAGTCCAGGTGAGTTATGTTTTGTTTAAATCCACTTGGGCTAGGTTATGTCTAGGTCCAATGTTTTAATCCAGTTGAGCAATCCTATATGTTTAAAGATTCCTACTTAGATTGAAATTTTACAATGTATCGGATAATCATAATGAAACCTTTGAAATCTTTCAGCTGGCTTATATAATACATGAACGATTTATGTTATATGCATGAATAAAACTTATGTTTAATTTTCTACATAAGTAAAAATAATTTTTATTATCCCGAAAATTGTAAACATGTTATAGAAAAATAGTAAAGGTATGTGTTGCATGAATAATATGATCACTTATGACATTTAATTAATAAACTTTTCTTATCTTCTTTTCCTTAAATTTGTGTGTACTTTTTTAAAATTTAATTTTAATAATTTTTGAAAATTTGCTCAACTATTCTCAAATTAATAGGTTTTACTTTGAATATCTTTAATACATGAGTTATAACTTTGATAAAATATTGATTTTAATTGAGATCATCATTTTTTGTGTTTTTATTACATGGTAGACTTATGCTACTCAAATTGATAAAGACATGTACATTGTATTATAGGAAACGTACATTATAAGAATTATTTACTTTATTTTCAGGAATGACATTTAATCCCAGAGACAGACAAATATCATTAAGTAGCAGCGACAGGAATGCATTACTTCAATTTACAGGAACCCAAGGTAGCCATTCCTCCACATTTATCTATACTTAAAAAAATTGCTGATTTCAAATACACAGAAACTAGGCAGTTTGTGATTTACAGTACAGTATTCCTTTAATACCTTATACGTTAGAACTAAATGTATATCAGTTTGGTTATAGATCCCGTAGTTTTGAACTTAAAACAGTTTCATTTTCTTTGGCCATTTGACTTGTTTGTTAATCTTTTGCCCGATGCAATAGCCGTTGTATAAATGAGGTAGTCTTTTCAGTTTTATAAGCATTGTTATTTTATCAGGTTTATCGTTCATTCTGTAGGTGTTTTATTTAATTTTAAATGCTAGTTCATGGCTCAAATTATTCTTTTCATTTTTTTTTGCCATGTAACTGTATTGTTAGGTATCAAACAGTTACCAAGTGCTTAATCAGGCAATAAATTGGAATATATTTCCCTCTGAACTGAAAATTACTTATTGTATTCTATGCACAGCGAAATGTACCTAGCATCCCGGGATTTTTTTTCAATCTCTTCTCTGACTACATGTACAAGTATACGTATATATTTTTAACAATGACACAAAAACCAGTTTTCCAGTTTGTTGAGAAAACTTTAACAGATACATAATATGATTCGTTATAAATTCAGTATCAAAGTTTTAATTTTATATAGTTAAATATGCACTTGATAAAATTTACTCTTAAAGTGATAGATAAATGGGTCTAAAATTGACACAAACACGGAAGAAAACTCTAGTGCCTTGTTGAAAAAAGGTATGGAGAAAAAAATATACGACATTAAGAATTGTTCATGATTAACCAATGATTTCTCTTCTTTAAATTAGGATTTTCTAGCAAATTTTTCCCCATCGTCCGGAGACCGTTCATATTAAATTGCACGGCGGCAATGGACACACCATCCCTACCCGTTACCTGGCTGAAGAACGGGGTTCCGTTCACCCCTATCAATAGGCGGACATTTGTCAGGTCCAGTTCTATCGTGTTTACCTCCATCATGCCTCAGGACAGCGGTCATTACACGTGTATTGTAGGTGACAACCAGGACAGCGAGAATCTCATAGTCGATGTGATATTTCACGGTATGCACAGAAAATAAAATCTTTATTTAAAAAGAACGAAAATGATTTTAATTATAGTTATTTAGTAATATTTAGGACATAACTGTAAGTTGTTCTGGGGAAAAAATCATATGGTGGTGCATTTTTTTTCTTGGCTGTTTATGAAAACTGTCAAAATATTGACATAAATATGCACATAAAATAAATTGCTTGATAATACTCAATTCTTCATACTGGTCTAACATTATACCTTTTATAGCGAAATTCTGGAAATCTACATGTATGAAACAAAAAAAAAAATAGAATAAAATGCTAATGTTGCAAATAATTAAAACACTTAGAAAAACGCTTCGAAATTTATAATGTTAAAAAGTACCTTTTTCCCGTCAGTCGAACATTTTGCATGTAACTGAACCATTCTTTAAAATATATATATGAAAATGCACGTAATTGCAAGGTTGTTCCGATTGCTACGTTTTGCAACGTGACGCTACTTAATCTTATGATGCATTACTAACAGCTTTCGTGATTATTTGGTAGAACTATGTATATGTATGCATCATTGAATCATTGTCCTAAGTTTCACTTCTAAATTCTGTTTTATGCTTGTAAGAAAACTAAAAAATTATTACTTTTTCAGATATGGGCTCGGAAGGCACCCTAGGTCGTCCGATATTACAACAAAAATATATTCTGAGATGCGGTATATCGAATTTACGACCTAACACGAGAGTTTCTTGGTTCAAGAATGGACAACCTTTCGTTCCAAATTCGGAACGAGTGAGATTTGCAGACAGCCGAGGTTCTGTTTCGTTCACTCCCCTCCTGGAAGAAGACAATGGAGAATATATGTGTGTAGCCAATTATGGAACTAGCCAGGCGTCGTACACTACAACACTTAGAGGAATACAAGAGAGATTACATGGTAATTGAAAATAATCTTAAGTTCATGTAAGAGAGATAACTCTCACTACAATGATGACTATTTATCTTTTATAAAATAGTCAGATCGTGACCATTTGTGAAATATAGTCTGAAATTATTTTATTTTAATGTATAAATAAATTTTTAAACTGGGATGTATTGAAAAAGAAATTGTTAAACAAGAGGTAATAAACTTACAATAACTTTCTTTTGAACAAGAATACATTTTTTGAGTATCAAAATGATTAATTCTGTACAATAGTTTATAATATCCTTATACCTTATTAGCTTTTCTTAATCACTCATTACCTGTTTTATGTTTACTGCAATATTCATGCAGTATTCAAATGTCTAGTTCAGTTTCATGCGAACACTCTCTATGGAAACAAATAAACAAGCAAAAAAACTGTTATTTGAAACTATTTGAATTTTTTTATATAAAGGTTGATTTATTCTTTTAATTTTCATCCTTAGGTTAAATAAAAAACTTTACTAATGGTACAATATCATTGCCTTGTAGAAATAATTACAGTACCTGTCGCTCCTAAGGAACATCGTGCTACTTTGGCGGAGAGATATGTTCTAATTTGTGCCCTTCCATCTGTAAATAATGCAAATCCACCCATTTGGTTTAAGAATCGACGGCCATTTAATCGAAGGACCGCCCCGACCAATGTGGCTTTTAGCGGAAATTCTTTGATTTTCAATACAGTCACAGAAGCCGATCGTGGTGTTTATACTTGCTCAACCCCAGATGGAGGTGATCAGTATACTACTGACTTAATAGTTGTTCCAAGGCTGTTCACACCCACGGAGGGGTCAATTTTTACCGTCCGTTGTCAAATACCTAATGACGATCCAAGAATCCCAGTCTCATGGGAAAAAGATGGCCAACCCTTACCACCAGTAAGCTCCAGAACTATGACCTATTCCGATGATGGCCGGGCTATCACTTTCACCCCGGTCACTCCACGGAATGATGGTCAGTATCGATGTATCAGGGAAGATGGTCGCGTATACCCATTGGCAATCAAAGTGAAGCCGACCATGCTGTTTCCACGGAGCAAACTACGACCTTTTATTTTGGAATGTGCTCTTCAAAACATGAATTCACGGAGAATGATCGTATGGCTTAAGGATGGAGAAGTTTTCAGACCCAATGTAGACAGGATATCCTTCAACGTGGCAGATGGGGTCAGACAAATTGTATTTGACCCCCTCTTACCGGAGGATACTGGTAGGTATGCTTGTGTTGGACCTGACAGAGAACGATACACCGTCAATGTTATGGTGGATGGACAAATGCCAGCAGCACGACGTAACTTCCAACCTACCATCACACAGGCCTTCAGACTGACTTGTGATATTCCTTTCCTTGAGCCATCAACTCCAGTTTATTGGTTAAAGGGCCAGCAACTCTTTACTCCTCCACGAGAAGATGTTAAGTTTGAAAATGGAAATAATGATATTGTGTTCGAGTCTGTTATGCCTGAAGATTACGGAAAGTATACATGTGTAACGGCGGATGGTTCCGAATTCTATTCCGTTGACGTGGACGTCAAAAGTGGTCCAGGACATAGTAAGTTTGTGAAGATATAGTAAGCAAGTCAGGATAAATTCCTGTTGAACTGCTGTTCTGAATTAATGTTAATTCTAACGTATACTTGAATGTGTAAAAATTATGAAATATATTTAGATATCAGGCTTCTTTGATAAATACTCTTTAAAATAAATTTTGAATTAGATTTTTGAACAAATTTACACATTTTCACGCAAATCAATTTAATTTGCATTTTAAAACTCTGCCTGCCACCTAAAACCACATGCTATAGGAACATTTGTTCAGCATTGTTCTTGGAAAGGATGAACAAATTTTATTTTATATTGTTATTCATTTAAATTTAAGGACGAGTGACAATAGGTGTAACGGATCGACCAACATCCACAATACCTGCCAGAACAACCTATAAATTATTTTGTCGTATTCCAAATCTGGAGCCAAATGAAAAAGTAGTTTGGCTAAAGAACGAGCAGGTATTCGTTCCAGCGGGAAATCGGATCAGATTTGGGCCCTTGGGTCGAGTGGTGACGTTTTCACCATTGTTGGACCAGGATTCAGGAATGTATTCTTGTGTATCAGAACTATCAGGAACCACCATCTCTCAGATCTTAAACGTCGGGCCACCTATATATCCAGGTAAGTATTAGTTTTGTTTAAAAAAAATGATATTGTTCACTTATTCATATGAATATTCAGTATTATACATTTATATTATTTGGACCATTATGTTTCGGTAAAATCAAAGTTTTTCGGTGATTTTATATGATTAACCTTCAAATTCAGTTACAATGAAACATAAAAAAGCTTATATTAATTTGCAAAAACTTGTAAAGTGGTAGAATGCTACATGTGTTTAAATTTCTGTTTGTTGATTTTATGAAGCAGTTTCCTTATATTTAGTAGCATCAAATAAATATGATTAATGCTTATGATCACGTCTGTGTTTATTGCTACCCAAAAGATAAAATTTCATTGGTGATGATCTTCTTTTAGATGACTATAGACTGGAAGTAGCCCCTGATTACTATCGTCCAGTGGAGACCAAGCCTTTTAGTCTTCAGTGCAGGTTGCCCTACTCCCCCGGTCGAATATTCTGGATGAAGAATGGATCCCTGTTTAACCCTGAGCAATCCCCAGCAATTAGACAGAATGACCGACTAAGAAGACTAGAGTTCGATGCCACTATGCCTGAAGACAGTGGGTTGTATGTGTGTATGTCAGAGGATCACAATGGAATATATTCAGCTGGAGTGGATGTTCTTCCCTACAATATCTATGGTAAATTTATTTCTTTATCTATGGTAAATTTATTTCTTTATTTCTTAATGTCTAGTGACACATGCCTGTCTTTTGGGGGTTTTTATTTACCACGGTATGATTTATGCATGCATTAATGCGTTTTTTTCTGTTGGATAATTATTTATAATAATTCTTTAGTTACAACTTCTTAGAAAAATGGTATGTCATTAAGGAACGCGACGTTGGGTCATCGTTCTTAGTCCAACTTAAACTAAAACACTTGTTTCCTTTTTCTATAGAATACATATCTTCATTGGGACCTCCAGACAGACAGAATTTACCACCAGGTGCTGCGCTTCCAGGAAACTTGGACTACGTCAGGGTTCCATCTGGAGTGCCATACGAACTACTCTGTAATATCACTAACTCACCAGGACCAAAATCATGGAGCAAAGAAGGTGCCATAATACGTCCTCCTGCTCCAGGCGATACAAACCGATTCTTACCATTCAACCCAATTACAAAGGCTAATTCGGGTGTTTACACATGTCGGGCAGGGAATCGAGAGTATACAGTTTTAGTCGATGTGGTTCCCAAAGACGTTCAAGGCATGTACACTTTGAAATTTATTTTGTGTTTAAGTTTGTCATGGTTTAACTCTGAAAACTTGTATCAAGAAGACTGTTTATAAATGGTTATTTTCGGGTGTCAATACCCAGAAAATTTGTATCAATAGGACTCTTTATAAATGGTTATTTCAGGGTGTCAACCTTCCTAGAAAAGAAGTTTTGTTAAAAGAAGTTTGGAAAGTTCATTCATTTTTTCTTTAACATGAGTTTTTTTTCTATACAAAAATACTCTGTGATATTACAGATCATTATTGAACGTTTTAAGTTGCATCTGTCGGAAAATTTGTTAATGCCTTAATTGTTTACATAATGTAGAATTAAATTTAATGTGCAGAATACTTCCTTCTGAGTGAACGTCCAGATGAGAAACCTAGCTTGAGACTCCCAGATGCAATGCCAGATAAACCTCGACTTTCAATGCCGAATGGCATGGATCAAAAGTTACGATATACGAGACCGGGAGATCCTTTTGCAGTAATTTGTGATATCCCACCACAGAATCAGCCTGTCAGGTGGTACAAAAATGGCATGTTATACGCTCCCCCTCGCCCTGATATTCAGGTGTTTGACAGGATGATACAGTTTGGACAGTTGACAGAAAACGACCAAGGTGTGTACGCTTGTGTAGCAGGCAATGGAGATGCAATTTCCGCTACAAGACTTGTTGTGAATCCACGCCATACAACAGGTGAGCATCATAACTCTCTCTCTCTCTCTCTCTCAAGGGACAAAAATATCCCTTCTGCTTACTGATTCAGAAGCGTATACATTTTTTATGGAATGAGTATATGCATGTATTAAGTTGGTTTAATTATTTTAACTACTAGTATCCCAGATCATGCCTGATTAAAGCAAACGTTTTGCTAAACTAATATACATGTACATGTACAAAGAAATAAAAAAAGAACTCAATTTGCTTGAAGGGAGTTCATATGACATCTTGTAAAACTTTGCTTGGCTGTTTAATGGCTTTAGGTAGTATTTTGCTTTATTAATTTTTAATTGTTAAATTACCTCAAATATACAAAATGCAAAACAGATTTCATCGGCACAGAGTGTCGAATTTTATAGTGTTATTCTTTGGAGAATAAGAAAAGTAAGAAAATGTATTGGATGTATATTCTTAGTAGTGAATTGGTCAATACAATGACATTGTCAGCAAATGCAATTTATCAATGAGTCAAATGCTGACTGACGTATTTCATACGAATTCTTCGGCCAATATATACACACTGAATTGTTGGTGGATTTTCCCGGTATTTCCCGATTATGACAAGGCAGCACAAGGCAGGTGTGGCCGGTCGACAGGGGATGCTCACTCCTCTATTGCACCTGACCCCACCTCCGATGTTTTAGAAGTTCGTGTTTGTGCTCTCCAATTTTGTTATGTTTAGTGGACTTTTTGAGACTGAAAACTATTCGTTATCCCCACATATTTCATTGTACACAAAGCCATATTTATAAATGCCGTGAAACAAATTATGAAACTTTCTAATAAACACAGTTTGAATTATCCCTAAAATAAAAACATTGTTTGTTACACATGAACAAAAAAAAATGCTGTAAACTCGGAAAACCTTGTTTCCATTTCGATTTCTTGCAGTGACGGTCAATGTAGCCGAGAGAGAAAATCCACAGGCCTATGCACTGACAAGATTCCGGCTGTATTGCAGCATTCCTATGTTGGACCCAGAGGAACCCGTGGCATGGATGAAGAACAATCAGCTGTTCGTTCCACCTGTCGATAGAAATATACAATTCTCCCAGAATGGTCGAATTGTCACATTTGACCCCATTTTGGAGGTCGACAGTGGTACATACACTTGCATATCGGAAAGAACTGGAGCTCAAATGTCACAGATGTTAACAGTTAACCCACCTATATATCCAGGTACACAATAGCATAATGACCTTAGATGAATTTATGGAAGATTTGCGGGTTTACTGTCTGAAAACTAAAACTAAAAATCCTTTCGTTCAATTGTTCTTTTTGAAATTTATTATTTTTTGAGATTTGAGATTAAAAATCGGTCCATTCAAAAAAATAATATCTGCTCTTGCACAATTTTATGCAAATTGTTTTAACATTTTTCCATCACACGTATTTATGCAATAAAACTTGATATGGGTTCTAAAATCTTACCTTTTATGAACCACCTTCCAGTCTATTCAATTGAATAAAATATATTGTCTTAACTGGAATGTTTCTTATCATTATTACGGAACTAATGGTATCCATATTAGACAGGCTTTACTTTATATGTTTCGATGAATAGAATACTACAGAGAAGAGGTGGCTCCTGGATACCACCGTCCTGTGGAAACCAAACCGTTCATACTTAGATGCCCGGCAGCGGGGGCACCTGTTATCTGGATAAAAGATGGTCTTCCTCTTTCCAAAGATCAGCAACGCATCTCATTCTCCAATGGCGACCGACAAGTACTGTTCAGGAGCGTGCGGAGGGAGGATAGCGGTGACTATGTCTGCATAGCTATGAATGGAAGAATTCTTCACCAATCGGCTGTTGACGTTGTTCCTTTGCCTGTTTATGGTAACTTCCCATTATAAATAGAGTTTATTGGTCTGTTTGAATATTAATATGATTATTTTATGGAAAAAAATAATATTGAATTAAATTTTTGATTCAAACTTTTTAAGAAATTATATAATTAGTTTTCTGGATCAATCACGAGTACTATTTATATGAGAGTTGCTGATATGGATTGAAAATGAATTTCAATCCAATGCTTTCTCAGACGTCCGTGTCGAATAATATCCGCCTATCTCATTGATCATCATTTAACATTTTACTGTATTAAATTGCGATTTCAATACAAATAAATTTTACCGGAAGTTAATTTGAATTTTATATATCATTACAAAGATAAAATGTACAGGAACTTTAGAAATCATTAAAATGCTGCATTAAAATTTTCGGACAAGAAAGCTGATAAGAAAGCTACTTAAAATTTTAAAAGTATCCCAACTATGATTTATATTAACAGAATACTTGATGTCTTTGGGCCCCCCAGAAAGACAAGGAGAGCGTATCCTTAACCTCCCACCAAATCTGGACTACTTGAGGCCTTTGTCCGGCAGTATGCTTGAGTTATTCTGTAACGTGTCAGATGCTGCACTGAGCCAACCAATCACCTGGGCCAAGGACGGAACTATATTACCTGACCAAAATGGTCAGTTCCTGCTTTTTCCGTCGGTGTTCGAGCCAGATGGCGGTTTATATACTTGTAGGGCAGGAAATGAAGAGTACAACGCCATGGTTGACATAAAGCCAAGGAACGTACAAGGTATTGTAAATCAAATAATATGCGCATCAACTTTTATTGGTGATTTCGAAAACAATCCGCGGCGATAAATTTTCGCAACCTAAGTAAATATTCTCTACAAGGGCACAGCAAAAAAGAAATGGTTTTTGGGGATAAAAATTCGAGCGTTTAAGAAAGTCGCAAATCTCGCGGATGCGTTTTGACACGCGAATAAAAGCTGGTGTATTTATAATGAATTGGAATAATATAATTGCGGATTTCAACATTCTCTAATTTCGAAAAATAAATGTTTATACATTTTATCATTATTTTTTATTTACAAATTTTCAAAAAAGTTTTAAGCAGAAGATACATATTAAAATTAACTTTAAAAAGGTTTCTATACATCCTATTTTTCATTCCAACAAACGAAAATTAAACTTAAGTTAATGCTGTAAATGAAAAAGCAAATTTTTGTTATAAAAAAAATTAATAAAGATAAGTTACTGTAATTAAATAATCGTAAATTGAGATACTGGAAAAAAATAAAAATTAAATTGATCTGTTTTGCAACCCTAAAATTACAATAATTCACAGCGTCATCTGTAATAGATGCAGTTCATGAAAGATATTTTGTCATTTTGTAATTGATGTCTTTCCGATAAAAAGTTTTGAATGTCTGTATTTTCCTGAGTCAATTATTTTGGAAAATCCATATTTCATTTGAATCATTTTTTCTAGTAATGAGCATCAATTAATTGATTTCTATTATCCAAGTATTCAAGGTTACGCAATATATTGAATATTTTGCACTTACCGGTACCAATTAATAGTAGTCCTTTCTCAAAACTACAAATACTATATTTTTCCTTCTTAAATCCACTCTTTGATGGAACACAAATGACTTCTATTTGAAAATACTGATCAATGTAAAAAAAAAAAGCTTATAGGTAATCTAGGCTTATTCAAATATCCATGCAAAATATATAGAATAAAATCTAAGTTTGATTTCAGAATATCTGCTTTTGAGCGATACACAGGATAGAAACCCAGCATTAATGCTGCCTGATGCCCCTGATGAAAAACCATTATTAACCCTTCCTCTCGATGCCATGGAGAGACAAAGGATCCAGACCCGTCCTCCTGGGGTTGGCTACATCTTGGTGTGTAGCTTACCACCTTACATCCCCTACCAAGTTCCAATACGGTGGTACAAGAATGGCGAGGCCTATAACGTCCCGCCGAATTCCAGACGGATATCAGTGCTGGATAATGGTCGGGTTCTTAGATTTAATGCACTAAGAGAAGAAGATGCTGGTCTGTACACGTGCGTGGCGGGAAACAACCTTGCTCTGTATACCTCCAGAATTATTGTTGCTCCGGATGCTAGAAATGGTAGGTACAGAATTTGTTTAATGTGGAACAGATGGAAACCATTTAATCCTAAAGACCTAAACTTGAAGTTTTCAAAACAAACAGTGAGATGGAAAAACTGCACAAGATAACAAAAACGCCATTTTATCTTTTGGGGACATCAAAATTAGTCAAAATTGTATGTATATTATATTCATAGAATAGTTCACCATACTTTCATTCTTGAAATGACTGAAAAAAGTGCATAATTAAAGATTGTGTCATTTTTATTCATATTTGTAAAAATAATTGTTTTACCATGACGTCTCTCCAGTCTATAAGATTAAGATTTTTTCAGTCCAGTCAGGATAACAATAACAACATACTAGTATATGGATGTCTTTCCACGCTTTATATTTGTGTAACTGTATTAAAAAGGGAAACATTAATCGAAAAATCACGCATAAAAGTTCAATCATTCAACAAATAATAAAAATGTTATGGACCTCTATTTCATATCTCTGTAGAACAACTTACCCTTGGAATAAGAAACAGGGAAAACAACATACAAGTCAACCAAGACTTCATTCTGAGGTGTGGAATTCCACCAATGAATCGCAACGTGCCAGTCGTTTGGTTGAAGAATGGGCGACCCTTCGTCTCGTCAGATCCGTCAAGGGTTATGATTATGGGCAGAAATATTACGTTTTCACCTGTTCTTCCGGTTGACCAAGGTCGCTACACGTGTATGGCTGTTGACAACTCTGCATCCTTTACCTCAGTTATAAATGTCCTAGCCAGAGGAGCAAGAGGTAGATTTCTTTAGTATTAAGAACTTTCTGTAGTATTTTGCAAAATAGTGTTTTTCACGGGTTAAAAGTCGTGGATTATTTTTATTATGAGTTTGTGAAGTTTCAATGATGTCTGTCTGTTTGCTTATCAGCCGCATAAACAAAGATATAGCGAGCAAAATTATCAAAATGATTTAAGGCTCTTTGAAAACAAAATTATTAAAATGGCTTTAGACTCTTTTAAAAAAAACAATTGGGTTAACGTCCTAGTAAGAGATAGATTCCTTATTTGATAATTTGTTACACCACTTTGCAGAATAGCGTTCTTCACTCGGTAAAAATTTTGGATTATACATGTATTTATGAAGTTTTGATGCAGTCTGACCATTACTTTATCAACCGTATGCCAAATTTGGCACAAAACACTATTGTGTTATTGAAATTCATTTCCTTAAGATAATGGCCATACTTACATTGTACTTTCTCCTACATCGAATTTTTAAAAATTATATCCAGGGTATAGTTTATGCTATCAATCCTTTAGAATATGTTAATGAATATTTTAATTAACATTTGCGACACGGTATTTTAAATCAAAAGAGAAAATAGTCCTGTCTTGTCAAATATGTTATTTCTTGATTCGATCATAAAAATCATAGAAACATGTTTTGAGATCATTACTGAAAGAGTATGCGTGATATTTAACTTTAAGATATAATTGCCTCTTGTTTTCAAAAAAAATATTGTATCTCTTTTACCTTTCAGCGGAGGATTCGCAATTACTCAATTCCTGGCAGCAACAGTTCAGACCTCTCGGCCTGGGGGCGTATGAGCTAACCTGTGTGTTGCCAGCGTCTGTGGAACCCTCTATGCCTGTGATCTGGATGAAGAATGGCCGCCGTATGATGAAAGATGACACGGGTAGAATTACCTACACGGACGGAAACCGAAGGATGATTTTCGCTGAGTTGAGTCCAGAAGACAAAGGATGGTATACCTGTGTGGCATTGGATAACTCTGCCTCTTATACACTGTCGCTGGTGGTAGATGTAGATCAGAATACAGGTGAAGACCATTGTATTGTGAAATCACAAATTTTCATGGAGGTTACTTTTCGTTCTTTTAGAGATATTAAGAGATTCACGAATTCAGGTACACCACGACAAATATAATATGTCATATAAAAATCTACTCAACACTTCCCTTTATTCACGAGATCCAACCCCCTGGAACTCGTAGGTTTTCCTCAAACGAAAATTTCACCCCACAAAAATATGTGATTTAACAGTAAAAATGTTGTATCAGTGGACATTTAATAATGAAGTAATTTCATTATAACTATGGGGAAATGCAAATGTATTAACCAAATACAAATGTTCGAATAATTATTCTCTTGAAATAGAAACCGATACTGTTGGAACGGCCCTGCGTGTTAATAACCGACTATTGGGAACGGAGTACGAGCTCAGGTGTTTACTTCCCGACCCAGAAAGGCCAGTATTTTGGATCAAAAATGGGGAACCCTTTGCAGCTGACCCCGATGGCCGTATCAGATTCTTTGATGGAAATCACTTGGTACGATTCAGGAGCCTTCAACCAGAAGACAGAGGGTATTACATGTGTCGATACGAGGACGGCTCAATGACCTACAGCACAGCCATCAGAGTTGTAGGAGGAACAAGAGTCCCAGGTTTACTTCACTTTTAATTTGTTTTATTAAGAATTCTCTGTTTTTAATCCATAATAATCAAATTCTACGGTCTATGTAATTTTGTCTTTTCTTCAGGACGAAGAAACATAAGAAACTTCTATTTAATGCAACGTGGTGGGAGGTTTGAGCTTCGCTGTGCAATCCAAGCTATGAATCCGAATTTCCGGGTTATCTGGCTGAAAAATGGTCAATTATTTGACCCTCCAGCATCCACAGCCATATCATTTACCAATGGAAACAGTAGAATTATTTTTGACGATTTGCGCGAAGATGATGCGGGTTTATACACTTGTATAAGTGGAGGCTACCGGTATTCTACATCCCTCTATATGAAGACACAGGCTATGCAAGGTATACTCAGTTCTCGTATTATCTAATGGAAATGACTTCAGTTCTACAAAGTACACGTTGAAAACATGCTTGTTTTACCTGACATAACACGTACCTTTATTTAAGGTGGAACCGGGTGTATAGCGCAGTGTGGTACTGCAGCAAGTTCCTGTACGATCCAGATTAATTGTACAACGTATATGACGTGCGAAGTCAGTGGGGAGACCTGTGACTGTCGCACCATGATGTGTCAATTTGGAACTTTCTGGAACCCAGACGCCATGAGATGCACGTCAATCAGAACTACCACCTGTGGAACAGGTAAGAATTTGACTCATTTCTAGCATCAGCTTATCAGTTTTAAACTGCAAACATTCTAGTAGTGGGAAATCTTAACCCCCAGTTTTATTTTTGCCCCTTTCGCCCTTCTCACCAGTTGGCGAATTGGTATTGAAGAGTAAGCAACATTGTTAACCAGTCAGTAATCCGCCGTGTGCTCGGGGCAAATTCAAAGAATACACTGTTGATCATGTTGATATCATTGTTTCATTGACTTGCGTGTCAATAGCTTGCTTCGTTTTAGAAATAATGATTTCTTGAATAAAAATGTGATTTGGCAAACATTTTGCAAGTGTGTTATGGCGAAAGTATCTTAGAGCGAAAATAACCATATATCCATATTCAGAAAAATAATAAAAGAATGCATTGTTTTTGTAGATCCATGTCTTTTCCATCCTCCGCGGTACACCTACCCCAGTGACTACAACTGTAGGAGCTTCTACCGCTGTTCTAACAATAGGAAGTCTATTCCTATGTGTTGTAGGCCGTTCTTTAGGTACGACCACAGAACGGGATCCTGCCAACCAGACAATGGGTGTTCCATAGAATGTACAAAGAGACAGATTGCTGCAGACCCAACTGTTAGACTAAGTACGCATAAAAACTTGCCTAAATCTTTCGAGTAATACGTGGTTTTATTGTTTAAAGCAAAAACTTACCTCGTTTTGAAAAAATTTCAATGAAGATTATTTCATTTTTTCTAATTTTCTTTCTTTTACTGCATTATTACATGATACGTTTTGCTTTTTGGAAATTCCTTGAAGATACAAAATTCATTTTATTTACCATTTCAAGAGAAGGAGTGTTGGATATAAAATTTTTATCACAGAAGCCTTAATGCAAACGAAATTTATTCACAAGAATGGTTCCTTTGATTGTTTATCGTAGTACGTTACTGTTTTAAAAACAACTTTTGGATATTATGTTTGTTTCTTTAATTTTTGTTCTTTTTGTGTTCTCTGTTGTGTAATGATGAAGGTATTTCTATCTTCATGTACAATTTAATGGTCCTAAAACTTGCTGCAGTGCCCCATTTGTACTGTTTTTGTCCTGCATTGTATCATCCTTTGAACGAAAAAGAGTAGGTATCAATTTCGAACATTTGGCATAAATAGTATGACAAATGAAAAGAAATGTATAACCCAGTTGACATTATTTTACAGTGACTGCTCGTCCTATTAACGGTGTGTGTTTCCTGGAACCTATTCCTGGGGATCCCGGAAGATACTACAACAGGGCTTCCGGTACCACGGAACCGTGTCCACCGGCAACCGTCTTCAGAGCAGAATCCTGTGTCTGCGAAAACTCTCTTACTCTAACTCATGTTCATGAGAAAACATCTGCTCTTATCAGGGGTAAACTCTCTTCACTCCTCTCTCTCTCTCTCTTGGTCTTTTCTATCAGTCTCTGTTGTTGTCTTCCTTGCTCTCTCTCTCTCTCTCTCTCAGTAATTTAATTCTAAAATCTTGCCTTGTTTTACAGAATGTCATCCGCTCCTTCAGCTTTCCTTTGAAAAGGGAATCAGAAACATCTCTCCACATGCAGTTTACACAGAAATAACTGACGTTAATACCACAGTATCTCGTAGACCTAAAGTCTCCGTCGGTACGTTCAATGGCAGGACTTCAGAAATTTCCACACCACGGTTTGTAAGAGATGAAATTGAGGAATTATTTGTGACATTGAATTTCTTGGAGAAGGATGGCAAGGATCATCAAGTTTTGTTCTCTAACTGCCGGGCATTAGCCACGCCCTACAAAGTACCGGGCATCCCCGGCCTGAGGACTTCTTCTGCAGAAATATTACTGGACAAACGGAAACAAGAAATTATTTTCATAGGCAAAACAGACGATCCACGGATCAACACCGCCATAGTTAGAGTACCATACACTGTAAGGAGCCTCAACTTATTTATCAATTTAGATATATCCTCCCAATTAATTTTATTTGAAAAAATTATTCCTTTTATATAAAGGATTATTTTTATAAAAATTTTAAAAACTATTTTGAATTCATTTTCAATTCAGTATTTTTTTTAAATAGATTTGTCTTGTTTTCTATCATAACTGATAAACTCTTCTCCTAAACTTCATATATATAACTATTGTAGCCAAATCAGTGGAACAAAGTAGAACTGATGTTTGATGGATACCGGTTGAGGGGCGTCGTTACTACAGATAACAACGGCGTCCCAGTGCGACAGTTCGGTGTCGAACCACTCGTGGGTAAGTAGAGAAATTCAAGTGATTCCATCATAATAAACCTGTGTAAAACATATGAAATATAGCACAAAAAAGGTATTTTTGTTATTCAACATTATGGTGAAATTGAGGTTGCTGTTACTTGAATGTTCCTTGCTTGTTACAGGACGATTGATTCCATCAGAGGATATGACGTCACTGGGTAGATGCTCTGACACAGACGCTTTCCGGGGTTTCATGGATAAGGTATGCAGCAATATAACTCGCATCCATCGATTTATCATTTTCTAATACTTGTAGCATTCTAAGGGACATTTTGCATATATATTTCGATCATTATTAATGGCAAAAATGTTTATCCATAAGTTTATTTCTGGCCTCTTTAAACTCATTTGTTACATGTTAAATGGTTATTTTCTTCATTGTTTTAAATTCTCTTTTCTTTCTTTTGTAGGTTATTGTTTCAAATTGCATTCCAAAAGGATGATACATTAATTGAAAATAACTGAAGTTGTATGTAACGTAATGTACATTTATAAATAACTGTGATTATATATTTTATTGTCATTTTAACTCTGTATGTATCATAGTAGAATGAATTTCATATATTATTTTCTGTCATCATTCTTGTTTCTCCATTTTTTTTTTTCATTTAAATTTAATTAAATAAAAGAACAAATGTATTTTGTGTTGATTTTCTATTGTTATCGAGACAAAACTTTGCAGCAAAAATAGAGTTGTCCAAACCATTTTATCTCAAGCCTGAAGTTTTTATTACCTCACCTGAGCCGAAGGCTCAAGTGAGCTTTTCTGATCACATTTTGTCCGTCGTCTGTCTAGCTGTCTGTCCGTCCGTCCGTCTGTAAACTTTTCACATTTTCGACTTCTTCTCAAGAACCAATGGGCCAATTTTAACCAAACTTAGTACAAAGCATCCTTGGGTGAAGGGGAGTTTAAATTGTTAAAATGAAGGGCCGAGTCCCCTTACAAAGGGAGATGATCAAGAAAAGACAAAAAATCTTCTTCTCAAGAACCACTGGGCCAGGAAAGCTGAAACTTATGTGGAAGCAAATCTTTAAAAATCTTCTTCTCAAGAACCACTGGTAGTGTTATGTGAAATGAAATTGTTAAAATCATGACCCCGGGGGGTAGGGCGGGGCCACAATAGGGAATCCGAGTTTTACATAGAAATATATAAAACAAATCTTTAAAAATCTTCTTCTCAAGAACCACTGGGCCAGGAAAGCTGAAACTTATGTGGAAGCATCCTTGGGTAGTGTAATTATTAAATTGTTAAAATCATGACCCCCAGGGGTAGGGCGGGGCCACAGTAGGGAATCCAAGTTTTACATAGAAATATATAGAACAAATCTTTAAAAATCTTCTCCTCAAGAACCACTGGGCCAGGAAAGCTGAAACTTATGTGGAAGCATCCTGGGGTAGTGTAGATTTTAAAGTTTTAAAATCATAAAAGGGAAGGGGGTAGTGGGGCATGATAGGTATAGCAAGAGGGGGAATCTGGTAAAGAACTGCAATACCCAAGTTACTCAGGTGAGCGATGTGGCCCATGGGCCTCTTGTTATTACAAAGCAGCTTATAAGCCGTTTTTAACCAAGCTTAATGGAAGTATTTCATCTTGTATCAATTTATAAACTTTGTATTGATTTTGATAAGGTTTCCAATAAATAAATGCATTTTTATAATATCACATGTTTTTGTCGAGCAAGTGATAAGCATAAATGTTGCTAAAGATTGCTAAAAAATTGCACAGACGAAGGTAATAAACACAAGTTGTATACTTTTATTTACATAAATCAATTGATCGTATTTTTTAATATTAAAAAATAATTAGCTTTGTCCAATATAGTAAAACTGTTGAAAGGCATATATTCTCCAGAGATTTTAATTTTGGGTATATGTTTGAAAAATACCTCCTTGAATATTTTGGATGGACGTTTCCAATTTAAACAAGATAATTTCATACACTTCTTGTTACATTTTGGTATTTTGAAGGATTTTGATGAGTTTTCAATCAACTATTTAACAGGAAAAAAACATCGTTAAAACTTAATATTTTTTAAAGTACACCATCTTTATGTTTTCTATGAAAGCTAATAGAAAATTACTGATCTATTTTTGATTCCAATTATGTCCCCTTTTAAAGGGTCACAAAGACCAAGTAAAACATAAAAATATAGTACTTAGATCACCATGCTTTGCTAAGTTACATCAGATTTGACCATTTTTGCTGTATCCTTCGCCATAATAACAAAAGTCATAAAGGTTCCTGATCTGTTAAATGGCAAATTTTGAGGGTAATGTTTATTAGGCACTTGCAATATTCTTTTCTTCAAGCTTGAAGTTAACCTGCTTCGTTTTTTCTTCATTTTCCTCGGTGTCTTTCTTCAACATAGCGATGATTTCCACTGCTGAGGGGCGCCTTTGTGGGTTAGCGACACACGTCTTTGTTGCTATCTCCTTCAACTGTTAATTAAAAACAGTTCTCTATCAGAGACATTTCTACAAGTACTGTAAACGTCATCATATCATGTTAGTTTAAAATCTATAAACCAACTTTATTGACATAAGAATAAACAATGTCTTTTATTTTACAGAAATGAACGCGGTTCGGTTGTAGCTATCACTTAACAAAAATAAAACCGCTAACATGCTTCCTCCTTTTTTGGAGTAATCGAGTCAATTACAAAAGTTCTATGGTCGGTACATATTGACCTTGTCAGCAAATACAATTTTTCATTAAGTCAAATGCTGACTGGCGTTTTTCATACTAATTGTAATTGTAATTATATACACACGGATTTTCCGTTATTTCCCGATTACAACAAGGAGCACACGGCGGGTGTGAGCGGCCGGCAGGGGATGCTCACTCCTCCATGGCACCTGGTCCCACCTCTGATGTTTTGGAGGTCCATGTTTGCACTGCTCCAATTTTGTATTGTTTAACGGACTTTCGAGTTTAAATACTGTCCGAAATATCCATAAATTTCATTCATATATTTTTCGTTTTTTAAAGAAAAAACACAATCATGTACATATGAAACTACTGTATTTTTCCTGTGTATTTCTTTTATTTTGTAACATCATTGCTACCTATTTGACATATATACGCGTGTATTCCGGTCCGCTGATGTTGTTTTTAGCTCACCTGAGCCGAAGGCTCAAGTGAGCTTTTCTGATCACATTTTGTCCGTCGTCCGTCCGTGTGTCTGTCCGTTGTCCGTCTGTCTGTCCGTCTGTAAACTTTTCACATTTTCGACTTCTTCTCAAGAACCACTGGACCAATTTTGACCAAACTTGGTACAAAGCATCCTTTGGTGAAGGGAAATTTAAATTGTTTAAATAAAGGGCCAAGTTTTCTCACAAGGGGAGATAATCAAGAAAAGACAAATATAGGGTGGGGTCATTAAAAAATCTTCTTCTCAAAAACCATTGGGTCAAAAAAGCTGAAACTTATGTGAAAGCATCCCGGTATAGTGTAGATTCTAAATTGTTCAAATCATGACCCCTGGGGGAAGGGCGGGGCCACAATGGGGAATCAAAGTTTTATAGAAGTATATAGGAAAAATCTTTGAAAATCTTCTTCTCAAGAACCACTGGGCCAGAAAAGCTGAAACTTATGTGGAAGCATCCTGGTATAGTGTAGATTCTAATTGTTCAAATCATGACCCCCCGGGGGAAGGGCGGGGCCACAATGGGAAATCAAAGTTTTACGTAGAAATATATAGGAACAATCTTTGAAAATCTTCTTCTCAAGAACCATTGGGCCAGAAAAGCTAAAACTTATGTGGAAGCATCCTGGTATAGTGTAGATTCTAAATTGTTCAAATCATGACCCCTGGGGGAAGGGTGGGGCCACAATAGGGAATCAAAGTTTAACATAGAAATATATAGGAAAAATCTTTGAAAATCTTCCTCTCAAGAACCACTGAGCCAGAAAGCTGAAACTTATGTGGAAGCATCCTGGTATAGTGTAGATTTTTGTTCAAATCATGACCCCCGGGGGAAGGGTTTGGGAATCAAAGTTTTACATAGAAATATATTGGAAAAATCTCTGAAATTCTTCTTCTCAAGAACCACTGGGCGAGAAAAGCTGAAATTATGTGCACATCGAAGGATCCTGGGGTAGTGTAGATTTCAAAATATCTAAATTATGATCAGTGGGATAGGGTGGGGATGCATTATTTATTACAAGGGGGAAATCTGGTAAAAAACAGAATGGCAAAGCTGCTCAGGTGAGCGATGTGGCCCATGGGCCTCTTGTTTTTCTTTTAGGTTTGAGATCAATTTTAAATATTTACATTTCCAAATAACTCGCTTGCTGAAATATGACGGTGTAACGACGAAAAGTGACCCCCGTAGAATATTGACCAGGGGGTCAAATTTCTACGTAGGACAATGACCCACTTTTTAGTAGAAATTATGGCCTTGGGGTCGATTTTCTCCGTGTGCATTGTAGAAAAATGACCCCGTAGAATAATGACCCCTTGTCATTTTTTGATGGAAAAACACTCGTTTGGGTATAGGAATATTCTTGTTAGGCGAATGCATACGAGTAATATCAAGCAGCCTTTTGATATGAAGTATTTATTTCTGAAAGCTTTAAAGCTTACATAACGAAGTCAAAGCTATACCATACCTTACACTAATAATACAAACCGTTTTATCCCCATTAAAGTAAAACAATATCTATTAAAATGTCTAAGGCTATTGGAGCAAAGATATGCACATTCATAGATTTGTGTCTTACATTTTATACAGTAAGTTTTTACATTTGTCAGTTTAAACATTAAAAAGTTCATTTTCTAGCTGGTGTTTAGAAAAAACCTTAAAAAGTTTCCATAATTGTAAATCTGTTTGATTTTTACCCTGGATTTAGATTTAGCAAAAATCAAAATAAAGTTTTATTTTTCAAAACTTTAATGTTTTTAATCCCTTCTTTTAAAACTGGCACGAAAAAGGGTGCTTCCTTAGAAAATTAGATCTAATAAAAATATTTGGTTTCTACGAATGAAGTTTCAAACTTCTCATAAAATTAGCGATAATTTAATTTGTAAAAATACATGTAAGTACTAAATTAAATTGCCTCTGACCTATGATACCAGGCAAACAAAAAAATGATTAGATCAAAACCACTAAAATGTCTTTTGTCGTTTGTTAGTGTCAACAAAACCTTATCAAAATGGGGGTTGTAGCATAAAAAATGAATAGCTAAAAAAAAAAAAAAAAAGAAGTGCTCGATCGTCTTACCAAAAATTGGCACATGAATCGTTTTTCCCCTTTCTACATGTACTTACATGTGATAAGTTTTAGGAGTTTTTTTTTACCAATAGAAAAAAGGGCAAACAAATGTTGCATTATGAAAAAGTTGTCAGTTTACATATTATATTTATGCCCCCATAAACGAAGTTTCGGGTGGTATATAGTTTTTTCCCTCTCCATCCGTCTGTCGTTTTGTCTGTTTGTCCGCAAAAACTTTAATCTTGCCCATAACTTTTGACTTGGAGAGGACTATGGCTTTCATATTTCATGATCACATGAGTATTTTTTGTGACTATACCTTTCTTTGGGTACAACCAATTTTGACCTTTGACCTTGACCTTGGAGTAAAACACACTTTTACACAAAAATTCTAAATTTTTACTTTGACCTTAACTTTGGACGA